TCCTTATTAGTCATTTAATGTTAAACAACAACCACTAATTATTGTATAACAAAACAGTTATATTTATTGAATCTGCTATTTACCATCTGCTACTCACTTTTCGCTATCCACCATCCGTTATCCGCTAACCGTTACCCGTTACCCGTTACAGCTATCCGTTACCTGTTACCTGCTACCAACTATCTGCTGAATTTTAACCGCTGTACTAAACAGGTCCTAAGTGCCTCAATTTGAACTCAAGATTTTGATGTCCTAAACGTCACCCCGCTCAGAAAATAGCCACTAGGAGAATCAGTATCGACTAAGTTTAGGGACTTCAAAAATATAATTCTATAAACTTGAGGGTTTCTGTCGGCATTGCTACTTAAAGGAACAGGGAATCAGCGGACATGGCATTGCCACGTCCGCTAGGCCTTCTGTCGGCATGCCGGCCGAATGGCCGCTTTTGGCCACGATAACATTATCAATATTTTTTAAACAATTACATGAATACAGTGACCGAACATAACATAATTTTAAAATTGATCAATTTGAAATTATCTGAAGTTTCATATATATCTTACAACTCATGTACATGGGATCGATGTAGGACAACTGTCCCACAATCGGGGGTGGGCCTCCACTAAAGGGGTTTGTCTTTTTTGAAACAATTACATGGGTATAGTGATAATTCCAAAACTGATCAGCTTAAAATTACCTAAAGTCTCATATATACCTTACAACTTACGCACATAGGGTCGATGTGGGACAACTGCCTCACAATCGGGAACATTATCAATATTAATTGCAAGAAAAAGCGCGAACGTATAATTGTGAATTATATTAATCAAGAATAAATTACAAATGATGGCTTTAATAAGTGGAATTTTAACCATGGTCATTTCTCCTATTCTAGTTTTAAATATTAATATTACAAATATTAATATTTATCAATTAAAATTTTAAAAAGTTAAAATAAAATTACTGTTGAATATATTTTTAAAAATATAAATTTCTTGATTAAATGGTTATAATTAACAATTAAATTTAAATTTGCTATTTTTTTGAAGAGGTTTGCTATTTTTTAAAAGTTAATAATTAGCTTAATATATTATTACCGTTAAACCCAAAATTTTTTCGGCAAAAACCCATCTTAAGCCCCTCAACTTTTTCAACAGCAAGTGATAAGCCCCTCAACTAAAAAAGTGGCAAATAAGCCCTCCAACCCCACGATGGGTGCAATCAGCCCTTCCGCTAACTGACTTCCTGACGCCGTTTGTCATCGGCTTCCGTGGCACTGCACCTTTGCGTTTTTTTGTTTGCTTTTACTTCATTCTTTTTTTGGTACAATGCTTTTACTTCATTCTTTTTTTGGTACAATGCTTTTACTTCATTCTTTTTTTGGTACAATGCTTTTACTTCATTTGTTTTTAATAATAATATCTATTTTTT